GAAAGAAAAGATACAATAATAATATAAGTAGAAAACTATCAAAGAGACTATTCTTTGGCCTCAACTAACATACAGGGATTGAAAACATTGCCTCCTTACCCAATAGAAACTTGTATGCATTCAGCCAATGAGGTCAAAATTTGACTCATAATTTTTAATCAAAACAGGGTACTTACTTATCATAATCATAGAAATAGTTTTAGTTTGGTAAGGAGGGCTACATCTCTAATTCCAGGATGTTGTATTATATATTACTAAATAGACTGAACACTTACTTTTCTGCAAATAGCATTTTTTTAAAGTAGCTAAAGTCAATCCAACATCTTACTGTGTTCTCCATGTCTGCTTCATCAAGACCAGGAATGTTAACTCGTAAGGACAAGTATAATACACCACAAAATCCCTGAACACCTGGCTGCCAGCTATGGTTAACGTTGATTAGCATTTAGCAAGTTAGTAAATTGACCAAAAGGCCACCACTTAACCAAGGGAATCACAGTATCACAGCACCATGCAGGCTGGATTGGGTCACTGGAGGTCTTCCTGTTCTACCACCCTGCCCTCCAAGCCAGGGCCAATTCATAACGAGTCGGTGTTTGAATATCTCTGAAAATGGAATTTCCGTAACTTCTCCGAGCAATTTGTCTGAATGCTTCAACACTCTCATTGTGAAATCTGTTTTCCTTACATCTAATTAGAATTTCTGTTGTTGCAATTTGCACTCATTCCCTCTCATCCTTTCACTGTGCACCTCTGAGAAGACTCTGTCTTCTCTGCACTGTCCCATTAAGTACCTGGAGACAACTTTAAGACCTTCCTCTTTTCTTCAAACCGTTCAAACCCACTCCTCTCAGTCTCTCCTTTTATGTCACCTATTCCAAAGCCTTTACCATCCTGGGGGCTCTTCGCTGGACTTGTCCAAGTGTGTCAGTGTCTTTCTTGCTCTGGAAAGCCCAGAACTAGACAGAACACTCCAAATGTGACCTTGCCAGTGCTGAACGGAGGGAAAGAATAATTTCCTTTGAGCTGACAGCTACACTCCTACTCATACAACCTAGTACGTGTTTGGACTTCTTCACCATAGGGGCACACTGTCAACTCATGTTCACTGACCAAGAGAAGAAACACTCTCTATTCTTTATTAGTCTGGTAGTGAGTATTTCTGGGGACAGAACTCACTCTTGCCTAGATGAACATGTGGCCTGCCTGAGGATGACAATTCTTAGGTGGTGAGACCAGCTCCTTATGAAGGGCAAACAAGCCTCTGCGAGTCTGGAAGGTGCCTCAGAAAAATCCCTGGGGTGAAATGTTATCTCAGTCAATGAATGTTTTTTTTTTAATAGTTTGTCAATGTGAATTCTTCCCATTCTTAAAGCTAGGCATATGGTACTGAGGTATCCTTTTAAACTGGAGTTGCCATAAACATTGTGACATTCATTTTACAGAATTTCATTTCAAGGTTTTGCATATGAGTATTACATCCTTTCAGAAAGTGAAACAGACTCTATCTTGCATTCCGTGTTTGGCATTTTCCTCAAAACTTTCAGACAGCCGTTATGTTTCAGAATGCAAGAAGCTCCTAAACTCTGCTTGAGCCGCTGCCTTGCAGCATCGAAACTGCACTGCTCCTTAACTGAATGGTTTGGGCAACTCCTTCAAGGCTTAAGGTCTTAAGAAAACAAATGTTAATTTGAATCTGAAGCCTTAATCAAAACACCTAAGGAAAAAAACATTACCAGGAAGAAAACATTCACACCACAGATCCGCTCACACCGAACATAGAATTTCCATCGTAAGTTCTATTTAAGGTAAGATAGTCTCAAATGCTAACAAAAACCTGATTCAAAATTTGCCTTTCCCATTAGCTCTCTCTCAGCTGCAAATGTCCTGTCTTCCTTTCTTCACTTGTCCTCAGAAAATCTTCCTAAGTGAATTCAGAATTTTTTCCTTAGTGTGATGGAATGAATTCTGTGGTTGCACCAGGCAGCACACTCTGTGGCACAAAATCAGGCAAGAAAATGTAACCAAAGTGGGAGGTTTCCTCATACCACTGTCAAGTAAGCTGCAAGTTCTGTCAAGCTGCAATTCTACAGTTTCAGGGTGTCCTCAAGAGTCTTGAAGTTTGCTTAAAGCTATTCAGACTAGTAGAAGCCTCTGGGGTTTTTGGCAGCTTTGCTTTTGTTGCCTAATACTGGTAATGGTCAGTATCAACCAACAAATATTTCTTGAATATTCTTCATGAGAACATTCTGTTTCAGGCTCTTTAGAAAAGCCTGGAGCTTTCCAGAAAAAAAAATATTAAAAAATGGCAGCACAGAACAGAATCCAGAGCCCATCCCAGTTTATTAAAAAACAAACATTAAATAACAACCTGCCTTTTGTGAACTCTGCCTAACGAAAACATACACAAATCTCAAACTAACAAGGTAGAAAAGCTTGAGAAGGAATCTCTGCAGTAAAGGCATTGGAAAAAAAAAACAAAAATGGACTACAGGCCTCCAACTGATAGCAGATCTTTATCTGTTCTTCTTTCCCCTCATCTTAATGGGAACTGCAATTCTATGGCATTTATTTATTTGTTCTACTAAGAAATTAACCATTTATTCACTGCCTACATTCCTTAGAGAGAAAAGGATTGGTGTCTCTCTTGCTCTCCACATAGGAGCTAGAGTTATTAGGACCCAAAGTCTGCTTGACCTATTACAGTCTTTTACATAAAGATATTTAGTTTCTCTTAGTGAAATCAGTTTTTTTTTCTTTTTTTCTTTTTTTCTTTTGTTTTTTTTTTCTTTTTTTCCTGGGAATTATGCTCAGCTGTAAGAGTCAATATGGCAATAGCAGATCAGCAATAAGTAACCACCTAACTGAGTCACTCGTTTAACTTGTGAAGATGGAACAGTTAATTAGGCAAGGGGATTAGCTGAGGTACAACACATCTCCCTTATCAACACAATCCTCGCATGACTCTCAGCCCTGTACTTATGACCTTCATGCTCTGAAGAAGACACAGGCAACACCTTCTTCCAATTACCTTCCACAAGGCGAGTTTCATCATCAGGGAGCCTGCTCTTTGTGCATGTACATATATATATACACTCCAAGGCAGCTCAGTGTACATTCAGGCACAGTGCAGTGGGACACTCAGAGCACAGACTGGCTGTGGTCGAGAAGCAGTGTCTGCTATGAAGATAACAGGCGTTTTTGTGCTCCTCATCCTGGCAGTTCTTTGCTTAGCAAGTGAGTAACCTTTTTTATTGCATGTTATGTTATGACACTAATGTGTTTGAACAGTTCTAATGTTCAATGTTATGTTCTAATGTTCAAACACTGGAAGCTGCTCAGTCGTGTAAGATATCGAGCAGCAGTTGCTGGGCTTTGGTAGCAGCTTAGATTTGAAATTTTATGCTTTTGCACTGCTAAATGTTGTTTAGCAAGCAACATTTCACGAGCTGTCAACTAGAATAGATGAAACCTATTTCTTTTTGATAGCGCAAATCAGGGCTGCATTTTGCATTGCAACTAAAAACTGCTAAAGAAAATGAAGAAAAACTGTAAAACCTCAGAATTAAGCCAGGTTTTTACTTAAAAAAATTCTTTCTGTCATTTGAGTGGAGAACTTGGCTTGATGAGGTCTTTCTGACAAACTAACCAAGCAGGAGTTAGCTGATTATGCACTAGCCACGTAACGTGGTTGTGAATGACCCTTTCATGAGAGTTTGCTGGCCTTGAGACAGATTTGAGCAGTAGGAGAATGCAGGTTCTATGATAAAATACCTTTTTTTTTCTTATTTGTTTGTAAAATGTCAATTTTAATGAAACAACTTTTTTGATGGAGATTATTCTTTCAAATAATGTGTCACTAACTTCAGCAAAAGAAATTCTCGCTTTCTAAGAAAACTCCAGTGAATCTCTCTCCTGAATTTTCTAGTTTATTTCATCTGCTTTAAAACTTTATGTATCGATGCTTTTTGAACTAGATCTTCTTGCATTTGCTCACCAAAATATAGCTGATACTAAAAGGTTACCAGAGAAAACTAACATCTAAGTGTTTTTGTGGAGGTAGGCTAAACGTGATCCAATGCCAGGGTGATGAAAACTCAGTCAAAATTCAGTGACACAAACTGATACTTGGCATGGTGGGCTATTTATGCTAGTTGTTTTTTTTTTAACCTTAGATGACTCTGATCACAAGATATGAGCTGCTCCATGAAAATGAGTTGTAGTAGAAAACTTCAAGTATCCCAAACAACTGTATTTAGCCAGAGAGATAAATGCTATGGTTGTATTTGCCTTCATATCACACTCCATTTCCTCCTGCTCCTTCGGCACAGAAGCATCGCCATGGACTTTTATCCTTTGGAAGATACAGAATGACTATTACAGGACAGAAGAACAAAATACATTCCTAAAGACAGTAATGAATGTGTCACCATAATGGAGATATGCCACTGTTATGTGATTACTTTCTGAGAGCTGTAATTATCACTGATTAGCTCTTTGGGGCAGCATTTTGAAGCCGCACCTCAGATCAGGGCTCCATTGCATTAGACACCATGCCTGAACAAACAGGACTTCATCCTTCCACCATATAGTTTAGAATCCACAGGGACTGGCATGGGAAAGCACTTTAAAAGTGATATTGCAATCTGAATTTCAGTATCATCATAATCTATATACTTGATATTGCATTTTAATGAAGGTATTATCCTTGTGACAGCAAAACAAAGTATAAAGGGCCATGTGACTTGCTTGTAGCTATGTACGATTTTTTGATAGAATTGAGAATTAAAATCCTGGCATGCTCAACAACTGGTTCATCCTGTACAGACTGGCCATTGAACATAGTGTTGACTCCTGCATCCTTAATCTTTCTGTGATGAAAAGGGGAACAATAGTCTCCATTCCCTCTGACAGCAGAGGCTGTTCTAGCTGCTGACATGGCTCTCTAGGGTAAACAGGGCACTGAGGGCCACTTGTTTAATAGGTCCTGACACGTGTATTTTATTAAACACTGAAAAATGATGTTAGTATTTACTTTCAAGGAGGTAAGAGCCTTGGTGCTGCTAGAAGGTACTAAAGGAACCATCCCAGTTGCAAACTGAATGCCTGCCAATGTCGTTTTTTAATTTTATCTTTTGTTATTCTGTTTTTATATTAGATGCTGCCAGAAGGGAGGAGGTGAGTCATTTTCCCCTTTGTTTCTGGATAAAGACAAATAGTTTGTGGTAATGGTACATCAGGACCCATGGGGTCAGAAAAGACTTATTAAACACTAAGTAAATGCTAAAACAGAGACTTGCTGGAGTTTGAGCTATGTGGTTTCTTCACTGCTGCCATGAGAGCTCCCAGGTGCTGCAGTGCATAATGTAGCATGTGGCTAGAAACTGGGCAAGGGGCAATCTGAAGTGGGAGAAATCAAGACATTTGGTCCGTGGCCGGTGCAGACAAGTCTGGTGCCGAAAGCTTCCTTGGCCTTAAGGCTTTAAAGCTTCCTTGGTGACTTTCACATCCTAAACCACATCCCTAGAGATTTTAATGTTTCCCTATGCTGGGGGCCAGGTAGAAAAAACTGTGACAACTCTGCTTTTCGGTGCTATTTTTGTTCAGGCAGAGAGCAAATCCTGTAAGATACTCCTGTATCTGTAAGATACTCTTTACATGGCACAGCCAGCCTCACGTACACCTCCAGAAGAAGGAAGACCTCTTTTCTGAGACCTACGTTCAGCTAGAGTCGATGCTGAAGCCCTGCTGCTCTATAGCAGCTAACAAGCTTATCCAAATAGTTCATATTTCCTTTATTTCTGTAGGTGAATAGAGAATGTGAGAAAGATGGGTTTAAAGGAAAATTAAACTTTATTTGTAGGTAGACTGCAGTGAATACAGGAGTCTACAGGCAAGAAGACCTATTTACTGTGAAAAGCTCTATCAACCTTTCTGTGGCTCTGATGGGAAAACCTATAACAACAAATGTTCCTTCTGCAAGGCAGTCCTGTAAGTACAATACTAAGTAATTATTCCCGAATAAATCAAAATCTGAGTTGGGTTTTGGTATTTCCATTCCACCCAAGTGCTGCCGTTTTGCTCAGAGTCTCTACTGCATCTTTGCTTAATCTTTATAGACTAATTGTTTCTCCCAACAAAAGGTCCAACTGATCAAAACAAATGACCTTGTTATTTCTGTAAGGACTTTTCTATTCTAGCAGGAATTGTCAAACTTCTACAAAGTTTTTCTCTAAAGAGAAAAGTCCAATGAACAAAATTATGCTGACAAGTCACCCGACTGAATTCAGGTCATGTAAGAATTCAAATTGGCATTGGAAACATCATTTAAGAATCCTGTGGAATAAAATGAATATTTTTTAGAAGAAAATATTTTATAAGCCAGTGCCTTCCTTTCTGCTGCAAGTGTTTATAGGGTCTCCTCTGTTTGCAAGTTGTTTTGAGAGCTTCGGGATTTTGGTTTATGAAATTAAGCTTACAGTCCGTAACGTCGATGTCCTCTTTTCCTCTACAGGAGAAGCAGAGGTACTTTACACATGAAGCAGTCGGGTCCGTGCTGAATGTTCTGGGTGACAGAGTGCTGAGAACAGCTTCACACTGCCATGTCACAATCCCTTAATTAAATTTCACTCATCCTGCCTGTTCTGATGATGACCAAAGAGCAAGAACCAGCATTTCAGCTGTCTCTTGTCTTTTGATGCTTCTCACTGCTTCACGGTATAGGGAATGGCACTTCTGTCCTTCCTGCAAAACACTCTTCCTCGGCATTGCCATAAGCATCCCTGTCTCTGCACTAGTGGGTTTCCATGTGAGATAATTAACTAATCTCCACAGCTCCACAGTGACAGTTCTTAATTTTCTAGAATTCCCAGTGGATTTTATTCCACAGAAGTGGTACAGGCATCACCCCAGCTTTTCTTGTTGGTGAAGCCCTTCCTCTCATTTTGCAAGTACTTCTTTTCAAGGGCTTCACTTTTCCTACATAATGCTTTGACTCTTCCAGCTCTAGAAATTGTAGCTATTTTGTAAATTGACATTTTTCTTCTAGCTTTGTACAGTCCTGATTCTTTCATGGTGTTAAGCTTCTTAGTCTGCATGTATATTAAAATAAATGTTGACATGTGTTTTATGCCCAGGATCCTCTTTCTAGAGAAAAGTTTACTGCATTTGCTATTCATAAATGACCTATTTCCATGGTAAATAAAATATTTACAGAGTTTAGATCGGCCAAGAAAGTCAAATTACCACAGACAAAGTTGTAATCCTAATGATATTCAATAGATGGCCCCATATTATTGGCAGGAACCCTCCAATCTGGCTTTTTTTCCTTCAAATGAAGAAACATGATAAGTTCTGTGTAAGTTTAATAGCAGTGTCTCTGTTAAATTCTGTCCATTTAAATGTGTTCATTAATGACTCTTTTCAGTTCTGATAAACTGTCTTCTTTCAGACATGAATAAATTTATATTTTGCTCTTATATTCCATTTTTTTTTATTTCCAGTATATTTTGATACTTATATTCCAGTTTCAAAGTTTTCTTCCTGTGAAATCCCAGCAAAACTAATCATTCATAAGCTTTAATTCTGGAAAACGTATTTCCTGATTGGATGACTATTCAAGTATAAAAGACATAATCTAGTTTAGTAATAAGAAATTGTAAGTATCAGTTGGGCTGGAATAAGACTGATCAGAACACATTTGCTATTACACATTCCTTCTTTCCTGACTTTGTCTTTCAAACAATTTAATAGTTGGATGCATCACACTAAACAACACGAGACATGTAGTGGTTTCATTGTATCACTCTGGTATAGAAGAATCACAAAGGTCTGTTCTCTATCTTTTTATACATTACTGTCTTTGGGATAGTAGTTATTCTGGAGGAGACATCCTTCAAAAAGAGAACTCAGGACATAAAATTTTAGCACTATCCTTTTTAGGAAAGAGAAACTATAAAGTTCAATAACTGTAAAAGTTGCACTCAATCACCTTGGCTGGGAACATCTGGAAAAAGAAGATAAAGCTCAAAACAATAAAAATTAACAACAACAACAAAAAGGAATAGTGAAATGGAGGATTGAGTATCTCTAGGTATCAAACATGTTTCTGTCATATGCGCTTCTTTATCCTTGCATCTTCAATATTTTCTGACTGTGGGAAGTTTACCTTGCCATGAACTATGTTCTGAAGATATATCAGGGAAGATTTTAAACAAGGAAGCTAAGGAGAGCTTAGCAATTTATCCTCTTAGTTCTTTCCCTCAGGCTTAGCTTAGTGCATAAATCAGCGCAATTTAACCTTTGCTAATTCTAAAGACCCATCTGTTAGCTGAGAAAACCTGAAGTGAAATACCCATTGACCATACTTCCTTTCCCTTAGCTGTCTGGTGGAGAGAACTCCACAAATTCAGCTAAGCCAGGCACTCCAGAATCCTGCATGCTGACAGAGTCACTAACAAAGGGCTTCCTTATGAAAGAAAAAAGGGCTGGAAAATCTTGTAATTCTCACATGGTCAGAGACACTTGCACTACGTGAGGGTGCACAAGGCTATCTTCCCACTCTTGTTTCAAGCCAGAGTGAACTTCAGTGGATAAATGACGCAGAACACTAGAACAGTAGCACATTGTGTGAAAATCCTGATATAACATTAGAGTTACCTCAGATGTAAAATTAAGTAACACTGGAGTTACTTTATTTTTCTCTCTGACCGAAGACAGAGACATTACCAACTACCAAAATATTTTTTTAAATCTTTGAGAATCTATTGAAGTTGTCATGTTTTGAAGATGCAGATGAGACATGTGACTTAGAAGGGCATTGCAATAAAAATCTCTCATTGAGTCACCTCCAAAACTATAACTCCAAATTACTCAGGGATTTTTTTGTGCATTTCTTCCTTCCTCCTTAGTTAGACTGCTCATGTTAGTACTTCCAGCATTAACTGGTTTTCTGATGATAGACATAGATGATAAATCCACATTAGGGTCCCTACCTTAGGGAACTGTTGCTTAGAGCTAGTAGCACCCATGTACACCTTGAGCATAAGAAAAGTGAGACTTAAAGATGAAAAAAATCACTCTGCCTATTGTCTTTTGGATTAGGACATGCAAAGGCATGCAGGAGGCATGGAGGTAGGCAGGTACCGAAACTAAAGATAAACTAGTGGTGGCAAAAAAATCCGCCAGCGTGGAATTTTATTGCTCATCAGCTATTAAAAAAGGTAAGCTGAGAAAGGTAAGGAACCTAATTCTTAACGCTGAATGAGAGGAATGAATGGAGGAGGTTGGCAAAAATACTTCCTATCCTAGGACACAAATTAATGCCATGCATTCTGCTTCTCTGGAAACGGGTTCCTAGCAATTAGGCAGTAGGAAGGCAAATGAGCAAGGTAATAATATAAAAGTTTCTCACAGCTCAAAGGCTTGTGGCTTTGCACAGAACTCAGTCAACAGGAGAGAGCCTCACAACAGGTCACCGTGCCCCGAACGTGTCTTGACTCAGAAAGACCCAGTTGAGGAGACAGTCTAAAATAGACAATATAAATATCCACCACAGCCCATCTCGACTTTTATTCTTTTCAGTTCATTTCTGATATAAATAGTAAAGAAGAGTAACTGGAGAGCAGTACTCTTCAAGAGGGAGGATATGCTCTTTATCAGCTCCTGACGGCATCGTTTAGTGGCTCATACTTGGAGACAAGACTGAGAAGCACACGAGCCTGTGCCACATACCAGAGCAGAGAGGATCATTTGCAAATTGCTATAAATGTCACCTGGAGAAAATGCTGAAGCAGCCAGACATTCTCGATGGTCAAGTTTATGTGATGGAGCAACGGCAGAAATATGGGGAAGGAAAACTGCATGTAGCTTGAGTGAGCTGACGAAGTACTCTCAGATCCTTATTGCTAGAAAATAATACAGTGGTGGACAGATACTGGCACAGAATGCAAAAAATAAAAATGATCTTCTTGTTTTGTAGAATATTCGTAACTCTACTGAAAAGGGCTTCATATATTATTGAAGTAGCTATATATATGTGGAGGAGAAGGAAGAAGTTTGACAGAAAGGGCTTATGATGTTTTCTTCTTCATTTTTATGATGAGAGATAATGAAATATAGCTCTGAAAATCATATGGCTTAGAAGTACTAGACCTAGTGGATTCCTGGGGGGAAAAAAGATGCCAGCAGTATAATAAAGGTACCTGGCCTGTCCATAAAGCCACTTTGATCAAAGTTTCACAGATATCACAGCTGCATGGCTGAGCCAGAACCAACATCCAAGGCTACTTACTCCTGCACTAGCAATGAGCTCCTTAAAGGTACCATATGCAAAAGAAAAAAAATGACAGCTGTACCTCAGAGATGCTATTGCATAAAGCATTCCATAGATCGGCCCAGAATCCCACGTCTCTGGCTAAAAGATAATATCAGATGATTAACGGTTGAACTATAATGGAATATAATTCACTTCAACTGCCTTCATTACAATAATATTAGTGTCTGGTCATCCAGGAGAGCTGGATTTTTACCCTGCCCTAGAACAAGTGTGATGTTATTTAGGCTGTTTATCCTGCGCTGCTCAAAGGTTTTCTCATGATGGGTGAGTGCTCCAGCTACTACAGTTGTTCAGTACTTCTGAACTGATGAATAACTCTAAGTATTGGGGAAAAGGGTACCTTCAGTGTCTCACATCCAGAGAATATAATCAGAAGATGGTTTCAACAATTCGATCTTAATCAGCCCACATTATTTGCTTGTAAAATAGGGGGAAGCACTACCTGGCCTTAGACAGGTATTGTCAGGGTTGATTCCGTGATGCATGTAAAACATTTAGGTATGATGGCAACAGCAGCTCTGTCCATGAGAGCTGCGTATTTTCACAGCTGATTTGATAATTGCATTTGTTCAGCATGAAGGAAATAAAACTTTGGACCACTTTCTGAACAGGAGAGGTAAAATGAAACATGCAGGAATTATCTGATCATTGAACAAAAAGGGAGTTCTTAAGAAAACACATTTTTCCTGGGAGTCAATGTTGCTCTGTGTAAATATAGGCTCTTTTTCTATTGCATCTATAGGACTAACATTTATGTGAGGCAGAAAGATAATGCATTAAAAAGGCAAAGCTGAGTATGTTAGAGTTGGAAGTAATGGAAGGTTTGGCTGGCACTGCACAGACAGTAACCTACAAAGCATGTTTTCCAGAGCAGGGAAATGTGATGGATCTATCCTGCTCCAGCAAAATCACTCTATTAAAGGATAACCACAGATACATAGAAAGAATCTATATTTTTCACAAAACATTTATTAGTTCTTCTATCCTAATAACGGCTTTTTCCTTTTACTGACTTGAAAATCTCTAATTAACAAGCACCTGGAATTGCAGCCAGAGGGTATGATGGAAAATGACAGTCATCTTGGAAACAGTGGGAAGACAACATTGGCGATTGGTTTGTCTGGAAAATCTGCCCGGCCTAGAAGGCGGTCGGCTCCCAGAATCTTTCTCTGATACATTCAAAGTGGTAGAATAACACAAAACATGGAGGCTGTAGAACAAAAT